CAGAATGAAATATGATCAAAGTCTAAGAGGTGATCTTATGCAAAGAATTAGGGTTCTTTTAATTAGGTTCAGTATATAATTAGAAAGTGCTAGGTCCACTTAGCATTCTATAGAATGCAGATACCAATTCCATTACCCAAGTTCACATTTTTGTAGGTTATAATGCAGTTCCAAAATTGCAAAAGCTGAACAGTCTGGCAAGCATCTTGTCTTTTCCTACTTAAAACAACTGCATGTTGCTCTAAAATTCTAATGAAAATCTATAAGAACTACTGCAAGTCTTTGCTTATGGAAGAAAGTGAAAAATGATTGCAATCAACTAAGGAATTAGCCTACTTTCCCAAAACCAAAGAACACATATTCACAAAAAATAAAAAATAAATAAAAAGGCCCTTTGGGATCCAGATAAAATGATTTTCCCCTAAATAATGGCAATTATATATTTTAAAAATATAAATCTAAACCTTTTTAGTAGCAGATGGTCTGCTAAATTAGCTGAGCAAAGCATAAATTTGTGAGAATCTTCAAAGGAATTTATATTAATTTTTATATTAGGTTTTTACAAGAATACAGAAAATGGCAGTAAACCCTGTAAATCCAACACTGCTGGATATGCAATGACTTCCTATGATATGTTCTTTATGTCATAATAAATATGTATTATTCTTAAATTTGAAAAAAAATTTAATTTGAAGATAAATTCTATAAATTTTATTTGGTAAAATTGTGAGTTTTTTTAGAGTTTGGTTTTTTGAGGTTTTTTGTCATAGGGTAAGCACTCTCACCAGAGAGACAGAAACGGATGGTGAGAAATCACCACCACCACCGCCCCCCCACGAACACACACACACAGGGGATGGGCATGCTGTAATCCCTTCTCCTCCATTTTTGTCTTGGAATTTGGGGCACACATGCACTTTCACCTGGCATGATTTTCACCCTGCCAGGTCCAAGACTCAAACTGCAGGCTGCCATGTGGGAGTCCAGAACCTTAACTACCACGCCACCTGCTGGCCCCTAGAATATTTAAATATTATTATTTTAAAAAAAATTTTTTTAATATCCTGTGTTCAAAATGTAATTTAGAACAGAAACTATGGGCCCTAGCCTACATGACATAGTTGACAGTGTACCGGACTACAGCATTGGCAGCTACCTGGTTACCCACTGGTCAGGATTCATTCCTTGACCATCTGACTGACCTGAAACACATCAAGCATGGGTTCATGTGCTCAAGATCCTGATGAACTGGAGGACTGGAATTGACAAGACCCTGTCAAGGGTGACTTTCTCTTCTCTTCTCTTCTCTTCTCTTCTCTTCTCTTCTCTTCTCT